GTTGACGTAATTCCATGGAGTCCACTAAGTCATAGATATTGGCCATCGACCACACTGGGGACGGGAACCACGCTTTGACGTCACCATCCTTACCCACAACGAGCATATTGAAGTAGTCCCTGTTGATCTTCAGCTGATCTCTCAGATTCTTCACTACATCCTGAGAAAGTGGCTCCTTTTCCGTCTGACTTCTGCCTACAGGCCAAGAGAGAGGGATGATTTCTGAGATCGTTCCACCACATTTGGTTGTAGTTTTGGCAAAAGAAAGGAGAAGACATGACATTGTTCACTGAATTTATGAGCACTTAATTATAACTTACCATTAAGTGGAAATAGCTCAACAGTGCCTGAAGCTGCAGATCCTTTTCCCACCAATTTCAAGAAAGCAAAATGACGGATACCTGGAGAGCAAGATTATAAAATGGTTTGAAAAAACAATCAAGATTTACTCATATATTTCTACTAAACATGCTGAGGTCTTTGTACACTGTGAAGAACTTCTGTCATACCTACAATTTTGTACTGTGTTCAAGACAATTTCATAATTTAAATGTTTTTTACTATCACAGTTTTCTGTTGTGGCCTCTATGAGGTTTGTAATGTTATGACAGCACCAAGCTAATGTTGTTAGCTAACAGTTATTTTAGAATAACTGTTTGCATTTCTGAATAACGGAAATAAAATGATTACCCCTTTAAGCCTAGAAGTGGCCATCTGGACATTTCTTGTTATTTTTTTAACTGCAGTGTAATGAAACAATACACTATCTACAAGTGTTTTACATCTGGACAAAACACATTTTTGGTAATGTCAGTTATTGAGCATAAATATTAAATGTTAAAGATGAAAATATTATGCAAAGCCATTTTTTTTTCACATTTTAACAGAAAAAAACAACAAAAACATACAGAAAGAAACGATTTCAGTAAATGATCCCAACAGTAAACTTTTTTCTCAACTTTATAAAGGTCACTTGAAGTCTTTTCTATATGTACAGATATGTGATCATTTTTCATTTGACAGCATTTTTATCTTATATTTTTACTGGTAATGTGTATCGCTATGCGGCTGTATAGAGCCACATCACACTCCTAACATTGATTGGATCTGCTGGATGGTGTATTTAGTTCTTTGATTGGATACCTAGTGATGGCAAAACAAAGCAAAAAAACATGGAAAAAAATGGCTTATGAACTCTGATCTGTATATACTAATCTAATGGACAGGCAATACAGATGGCTCTGTGGACGTAGGGTAGATCTGTCCTGGGATTTCACAGAAAAATATGATATAGTACATATAAGGTGGAATCTGAAGTTTAAACATAACGTGTCCTGAACCCGCTGCTGGTGAGACGCTTGTCCTCAAAGGGTTAATAATCATATTTAATTAAATTCTTATGTTAGGATTTTTGAGTCAGCAAAATATATCTAAAATATATTAACATTTTATTTACATTTATTTACAGCATTTAGCAGATGCTCTTATCCATTTGTTATATACATATATATATATATATATATATATATATATATATATATATATATATATGGCATATGCAAAAGTTATGGCACATTTTATATTTTATGTTTTATTTATTTCTGATATGTTAAACTCAACAAATAAATAGAAAATGTGCACTAAGTGTGCTCTTAGTGTGTTCTCTGTAGAGAACTTTTTTTCATTTTGAAAATCAGTGTAGTACAGTGTTGTGAACTTGCGTTCAAAAATACAGTACACTGTCATTACTGTAAACAAACATTACAGTATGAGTGCTGTAAATATTAAGTATAGTAACTACCTGGCAACTCTGCTGCCCAATAACTCTTTGTAAATGTACACAGTAATTTTTTACTGTACATGAATACCACAGTGAGTGTTACTCTTACCCATTGGGCACTCCTGTCCATTAAGAGCCTGAAGCTGCTGATGGAGACAATAGTCCTCCTCAGTGGGGGCGGAGATGATTAAAAGTCTTCTTTGGGACGTGAATCTAAAACAGGTCACATAGGAAACTGACATTTTAACTGTAATTCAGAGAATTACTCCTTAACATATGTTAGTTAAACCACCCTATCAATCCTCAGCATCTACCTGAGAAGTGAGTTCTCTGCCTCAGTGTTTTTCTCAGATGGTGCACAGGGTGAGGGAGCTTTCTTCTCCTGCTCTTTCTCCACCTGCCGTGACTGGAAGCTATCAATGTACTTCACAATAGCTGATGGGGCTGTGGGTAAGTCAAACACCTTCTGGAGCTGAAATCACAAGACTGGATTAAGTTGAAGGCTCACTGCATCTTACATCTCAGAGTCTTGATGAAGATAAATCAAAGATTCTCCTTACGTTAGGCTTCATGTCATAATCAGTCACCACCATGGAGTATTCCCTGGACACAAGCCCATATTCCTTACGGATCTGACTGATTAAGTCAGGATTTTTAAAGTTGTCCGGCAGTGAAGCCAGTTGTGGATCTCCGTCTGTACAAAATTTATACGCAAACATTTTTAAATGTAGAGATTCCTCAGTTCATCAGTATCAGCCAGAAAAGATGCAACAGCAAAAGACTGAATTTCTGCCTGATCTGCATGCAGTTTTTAAAACAGCACCTGTGGGCTAGGTAACAAATGAGTTGGAGCAATCAGACTGAGAATGACTGGACTGCTCTGCTACCTTGCTGATAGTGTTGCAGGCGCAATGTGGGGTTGTGCTCTGAACCCAGGATAGACAGCACCGTAACCTTCCGTAAAGCAAAGTCACAACTGTGCAGCTCATTTTCATCCCTCTGTTGAATATACTGACTCGAGACATCACTGGGGGAAGAAATGACCTGCATCATAAACAGTATTGAAGTTACAGATAATACCAAAAACTAACACATGTGATGTGAGGAGAGTTAAAGATATACAATACAAGAACATTAAAGCTGACCGAAATCATGATACAAATGTCCACGGTCTCATGTCGTGGAAACCCAACCCCCTGTCTCCGCTGCTGGTGCAGCCTGTTGAGCTCTCATTATGTTACTAATGTAACAAAACTCATTTGTATAGTATAACACATGTAAATGACAAAATTATTTTTCTGTTTAACATTAGGACAAGTAGTGTACCATGTTCTTTAGTGTTCTTCTCTTTTGTGATCAAAAATGGTTGGTGATTTAATAAAACACTGGATTTTTTTCCCTGTTTTTTTCTTATTCACCCCCCCACCCCACCCTCAAAACACAAAACAAAACAAAAAATTAAGTATGAACTCAAGCGTGGCTCAAAATCTGAGGTCTGAATTGAACTGTAGATTTGGAGAATCATGGATTTAGAGAATCATTACATCCCTACCAAGTATCCACCCCAATAGCCCAAATTTACTTCCACAAAGTCATCATAAGGCGGTTTTCCTAGTCTTTAAACCAGAAAATCTCACTCTAGAAACTCCTGTGGCTGTGCTGAAAGAAGCGAGTAAGCATGTTATACCAGAAATAGAGAGTTAAATTTTCATTTTAGCTGGAGGGTCTCTTTAACTGCTTAACAGTCCAGGTTTATTTCACATAAAGGCCTATTACTCAGTAACTACATGGACTTCAATGCAAACTAATGGAGCTATTCTTACATTATAGAAGTGTGTAATGAAACTTGCTTGTTAAGGGGTTAAGCATGCACACCCAAATACTTACAAGAAGTCTTCTTTTGCCTTTTAGTTTTTCTATAAACTCTCTGAGAGCTGCCTTGTCTTTACTGTCTTGTTGTGACGCCTTCCCTCCTCTTTTCCCCTTCTTCTTCTTCTTTCCGTCCTTCTTTCCCTTGCCTTTCTTTTTGGATTTTGAATTCTCAACTTTTTGCTCTCCTTTGCTCTCCTCATCTACTGTGAGCACACCTGAACTCGCTTTGCCATTTTCTTTATCCACTTTAGATGCAGAGTCATGTTTATTTCCCACTTTATCTGCACCTTCTGTGCTTTCTCTTTGGCTCTCAGGCTTCTTCACCTCCTCATTTGCAGAGGATTTTGTTGCGTTGGATGACTTGCCTCCACTGGAGCTCTCTGGCTTTTTACGGACGACAAATCTGAAGCGTCCACTGAGGATGTCCTTAACTTTGTCTCTGATGACTGCTTTTTTGTCTGCAGTTTGCTGTGGTGAAGGAACAATGGATGTGATATTGCCTTGCTTGTGGGAACTGAAGATTCTTCTCTTGTTAGGATTGGACGGCTTCACCACTAACCGCTTCTTAGTGATCTTGCATCTCTGAACTAACCCCTTCCTGGTGATCTTTTCTAGCTTGCGTACGGGGAGCTGATCGATGACTTCCAAAACGGCCTCAACGCGCACCGGGTAAGGAAACCTCTCACTGACCTTCAGGTTCTTCTTCAGGATCAACATGGAGAAGGTTTGGTGTTCTACCTCCAAGTAATGGAGCAGTTTGGTCACCATGTCTGGGTCCATGGCTTCCTCTGTGGCCTGCCCCTGCATGGTCGTGTGTCGGATTTTGCCCTCCATCATGGCATTTTGAATGATAGTCACAATGAGGGTGTCCCTCTCAGCTAGTCGACAGTTCAGCCCCTCGGACTCCTGGATCTGTTGCTGCATCATGCGCAAGTAGTTATCGCTGTAGGATGGGGCGGTGATCACCCATAAACGCTTTTTTCCAGCAAAATCAGCCAAGAAGTCTGTCCCCGAAGCCCCTTCAGGCTCCCTCTCATTGGCCTCATCCGCTCCGGCATGCTCCCGGGGGCCCACGGGTTCATCCTTCGCTTTCGATCGCTGTCTGTTCTTGCCTGTTCTAGCTGACAGCGCTGTGCTGCAACTCCACAAGACAAGCCCAGTCAGGACTATCCACAGATGATGCATCTCCCCCAGAGAAATCAACACCACTCCGTAACCAGAAGATTAAGAAGGCACAGGGAAAAAAGCAGCTTCTGGTTTATATTAATTTCCAAACTCCTTGAAATCCTGAGCTTCAAAGTGGTGTGTCATGTGCTGCACAGTGCACAGCTCTACATAGTATGTTGGAAGGCTGAGCAAAAGTGGGAGAAGGGGTAAAGAAGTAGAGGGGGGAATGAAACCTGACCCTCTGCAGGCTATGTGATGTGAACTCCCTCATCTGACAGAGCATTCCTCTCACCTCTGTTACCTGCAATAAAGCTTTCACATCTCATCTTTCACATTTGATTGCATGCAAACTGAAATGAAACTTATGGATTTTTGTTTGCATAAGAACGTTTAGAAAAGAAACTCTTACACAATCCAGGATTTTTTGCTAAGTTTCCCCATTTACTTCCACTTTTGATTGGACATGCACTTCAGCAAATCCATGTTTAAATTTACTTACTATTGCATTTCATGATTCTTTTCACGGAAATCTATTTCCTTTTCCAGGTACTGTTATGGAATGACAATTATAATAAGCTGATACAAACCCAGTTGAAGATACCAGGTTACCAGGTGAAGATACTGCAGCACTAGGAAGTAAGTATGACATGAAATATTGTCAGAGCACATTGACAAGTAATTATACCTGATGGGGACAATTTTAACATGGTTCACAGCCAATTTGGGGAAAAGATATCAATGTTTTGTTGAATTCTTAAGTAAAAATAAGGACACAGCCTCCACATAGAGGTTGTATGCTACATGAATACACAATTACCGTTTATTTGCTGAATTTAACATAAAGAACAATGTGGCCTGTGCAAATGTTATGGGACATTTTATATTTTTTGTTTAATAAATTAAAACTGTGCCTTCAAATTTGCAGAGGACTTATTTTCACTTAGAAAATGGCATAGATTTTTGGGGTGGATGCAAATAAACGTAAATACAGTAGAAAGTAACAAGAATCTAGTTAGAAGAACAAAGTTTGGTTCCAGATTTCTCCTAGATGCCCCCAGCCATTACATTGATTTGTTAAATTCACCAGCACATACTGAAGTACTGATTAGCAAATCCTAGAATTGGATGGTATCTACAGTTAATAGAGGGATGCCACAGGGAGAGGTTTAGAAATTGTTAAACAAATATACTGACATGCGTAAAACCATACTTACTGTAAAAATGTTTTGTGTTTATTCTCATATTAATGTTTTTTTGAGCAAATAAATGGTTACTGACCAGATAAATAGTTATTAAATCAAATTTAAAACCTTTGTACAGTACTGTATATATAAAGACCAGGGCGGCCCACAATGTAGCCCACAGGCTGTGAGGACCTTTGGTTCACCATAGAGTTATTCTAACCCTTCATCTAATGAGAGCACAAACATATTTTATACTATATGCTATAGTTAAATATACTATATAACTTCTTCAATTTCTATTTTCCTTTCAAATTAGTGTTTGATACAATATATAGTGTAATTATACACTACATTATAAACCGCATTTACAAAAGCTATGCACTTTCTTTATTTGCGTGCTGTTTTGTTTTTGGACCTTGGCATATCACAAACATTGCACTAGACAAAAAAGGGCACCCTTGATCTAGAAAAGATCACAGTATGTGTGAAACTCTTTCTTTTGCTAACCATGAAACTGGGTGATTTCCTCTTTCGTCTTTAGGGTTGTCATGATCTGTCCAGCTGGCAATCAGCACAACTGTATGGCAGACTGACCTCAGATTAAACAAGAGGAAACACAGGCTTTGCAGTCATCTCCCTCTTAACAGCTGAGAGGACGCATTCCAGGTAGGGGTGAACAGAAAACCCCAGGCAATTAGACATGCGCATCTACGATGAAAGCTAATGGTTAACAGCCATGGTGCCTACACATTCCACAAATGGAATCACTTAAACAGATCCACATGAGGGGCTGCTAAAAACAGTGCACCACAGCCCGAGATAAAAAAGGAATTCACAGCAAAGGCTGACAGGAGCCCTTGTCATGTTCATCGTAGTATTGATTTTCTATTACTATGGGAAGGACATTGCAGGTGATTTCCAGTATCACTTCCAGAATTGGCACTGTAGAAACTGTAAGGTAGTTTAGCTTCACTTTCAAAACAAAGTTCAATGTTATTCAATATGAATGTGATTCAGAAAAGCCTGGGTTTTGTTTAGCACACAGGGGAGTCAGTCATAGCACTGTAGAGTTTAGTGTTTTTTCATGGTTTATATTACACTTAATTCAACTTATCAGCTAATGAGCAACTCCTTCATATGTTAGAACTATGCAATAAATGTTAAACTTAATCCTGAACCATCCAGGTCTGGGGTTTGACACCTCTGGTCCAGCAGCTCCCCCTGCTGCAAATGTGCCTGGTCACAAACAAGTTAGTACTACTAATGTGTACTGCACTCCAGCTGGTCTATAAAGCTTTAGCACTAATATTATGCAATTTTTAAAACACTTTCAACTTCTTGTAGAGCATGTAAAAATAATGACTTTAAATGCCAAAAGCATTCATTTAGAGATCCTAGTCTTATATTGCCTAAGGAACAGACTATGCTGCAAAAATATAATACTGCACTTGTCCGTAGTTCTATGCTATGACTCACTGGTCAAGAAACAACTAGGCCCTGGTTAAAATATCATGCCTCAACAAGAGTTTCCATTGTGTCCAGGCAGCTCACAACACCTTGTGGGTTATTTACACTTGAGCACATTTACATATCTTGTCTGCTTGATTCAACATGTATGTTTTGTTAGCTTTGTGAGTCACACTCTGACTCAGGTTGAATATTGATTTGGAAAAAAAATGTTAGCTGGCTAACCAAATGTGCTCCAAACTACAATAGACAAAGGTTAAAGATAGAAAATTAGATCACTGTTTCCCACCTCCAGTCCTGAAGGTCACTGTGTTTTTCTGCACTTGAGTCACATCAGTGATCAAGTCCTTCTTGAGCTAAATCAGGTAGAAGAGGAAAACCTCCAGAACATTCAGTCCCAGATAGCAAGCATATATTTGTCCACTGGCCTGATCTACTAGTTTTCAATCTCTTCAAATAGATTTTCAATGCACATAGTCTTTACTAGTGAGACAAAAAAATAATGACTTGGCCTAATATAAAATGATTTTGCTGAAAATGTTGCTGACACTGTGCTACATTGGTTACTGTTGTATAACCAGTTTTATTTGTGATATTGCTGTTAAAATTATTTAACTAAGTACAACAAAAGAAAGAAATGAAGGCAAAATATGTAAATTAGACTCTAAGCAATGAAAAGTGGCATTTTGTCTAATATTCTGCTTAATCACCAGTGGGCTGCCTGGAAAATGCTAAGCAAAAAGCCAGTAGGCCACCAGTTTTGCCATCAGCAGGCCAGCAGTGTCCCACTGTCCTCTTGCTATCTGTCCTGTAGTACATCATATGTTTTCTTAGATCAAGTCCTTCTTCCATGATGAAAAAAGAACTACAGTAAAACTACAGGAATTTCTGTTCACTACAGCACTAGGTCTCAAACCTTTTTAGCCTAAGGTCTCCTCTGTGCATAGTAAGTGCCACTCTGCCCCACTTTGCTTTTGGGGTACTTTCGCCATGTCTTAGCAGGACCTTTCTACTAACTTTCTCTGTAGCTATTGCTGACCTGCTTGTACAAGACACAAGGCCAAGTTCTGTCATTATAGATAGTCTTAACCCATTAGGTAGCCATGTTATGGCCGTGAGTTTAGTTGGCACATATTTCACTTTAATAAAATTCAAGAACGTAATAGCATATATATTTTTTTTAAACAATTACAACTTATATATGTTCAGAGCTGTGAAAAAGTACTTGCCCCCTCCTAATCTCCTCTATTATTGCATATTTGTCACATTTGAATGTTTCAGATCATCAAACTACTTTTAATATTAGACAAAGATAACCCAATTAAATGCAAAATGGTGTTCTTAAATGATGATTTCACTTATTAAAGGAAAAATGCTGTTCAGCCCTACCTGGCCCTATGTGAAAAAGTAATTGCCCCCCCCCCCTGCTATTAAATCAACCAGTTAACCAAATACAATCGACTACTGGGTTCAATTTTACCAGCCACACCCAGGCATTATTACTGCCAGACCTGTTGAATCTAAATGTCACTTAAATAGAACCTGTCTGGCAATGTGAAGCAGACTAGAAGGTCTCAAAAAGCAGCACATAATGCCACGTTCTAAAGAGATTCAAATACAGATGTGAAACAAAGTCATTGAAATCTGAAAGGGTTACAAAGCCATTACTAAGGCCCTGGGACTCCAGCGAACCACAGTGAGAGCCATTATCCACAAATAGAGAAAATTTGGAACAGTGGTGAACCTTCCCAGGAGTGGCCGGCCTACCAAAATTTCACCAAGAGTGCATCTATGTCTCATCCAGGCGGTCACAAAAGGACTCAGGCAAATATCCAAAGAACTGCAGGCCTCACTTGCGTCAGTTAAGGTCAATGTACTTGATTTCACAACAAGAAAAACACTGGGCAAAAATGGCATCCAAGGGAGATGCAAGGTGCAAACCACTGCTGACCAAAAAGAACACAAAGGCTATAAAATATAAACATACAAAAATATAAAGATATTACAGGTTATTACAGACATATTGTACAGGGCAATATAAACAGTATAGTTTCTAAAAGCAAGGGTTGAACTGAATCAGCTGTGTTTCAGGAAAACAAATCCGTGCAGTGTAGACGGCCTTGTAGCTGCAAATACGACTGTAACAGCTAATTTCCTCATAAATAAGCATCATGCTTTCTTTTTTCTTAATTTCACCGATTTTATATTATGCACATTCGTCTTAGTTTGCCCTGCAATGCTGTGTAACGGTACTTGTCTCCTCGCTAACCGCCGTCTGGCGGCTATAAGACCCAACACAAATGTGTGACTTGCTATCTCTTCCGGGTGGCAGCAGGTCGGGTTTCTCCGCTCTGCATTATAGCGCTTAAGCTAAAGGTCAGACCCTGAACACAGCTTTTTCTGCTTTACTACAAGCTTCTGAATTTTAATTTAATTCCCAGAAATTCCAGCATTGTTTATTGTAGTTGCTCGGTGCAAATTCATGTTTGAATGCTCGCTTGCGTTTTAGCTGTGTAGCGAATCGTAGTGC